ATTATTAGATTCTTAATAGTTTCAATCAATTGATTTAGTTGTTATTGAATAATATGAGTTTAAAATGATAAATTGAGGTAAAAGTGATCCACTCGCTGATATGATCCACTCGCTGATAAACCACGTTATTGTTCATGCAAATGTGGCTAATTCATCCTATAAACTGAACAGGCAACTCTTAATTAAAACCTGTCCCATACACCTCATATCTCATCAACATTATCTTTCAACAGCAGATTATTAAATTTACTACCCATCAGCCACCAGCCATCAGCAACGCGCCGACAGACTGTAATCATGGCACCCAAACAAAAGACCATATATCCATGGTCTCGTCGAAACAACATATTCAATCCCCCAACCCCTCTTGATTCCCTCCTCGAATCTCCTCTCCGCACATTGATCTTCTACCTCCACACCATCCTCCTCTATTTCCGCGGCGCATCTTTCAACCCTCCCCGCAACAAACCTCCTGTCCGCGTCGTCTGCATCTCAGATACACATTGCAACACACTATCAATCCCGCATGGAGATCTCTTAATTCACGCTGGAGATTTGACAAATGCGGGCACGGTAGAAGAAATACAGGCGCAGATCGATTGGTTGGATCAACAACCACATAGAGAGAAGGTGTTTATTTGTGGGAATCATGATAGTTATTTTGATCCTAAGTCAAGGAAAGAAGGGGATAAGAAGAGGAAGTTGAATTTTAAAAGTTTACATTATTTGGAGAACAAAGCTATTACGTTGAAGTTTAAAGGAGGACGGAAGTTAAAGATTTACGGATCACCAAATATTCCTCAGTGCGGTGGTTCTGATTTTGCGTAAGAAGCTTGTAGTCCTGTGGATGGCGTTAGAGTTTGAATGCTAATCATGTTTTCGATTAATAGATTTCAATACCAAAGACATCTTGCGCCGTGGGAAAATCGTATACCGAAAGATACAGATATTTTAATTACACATTCTCCACCTCGACATCATCTCGATATCAACTTGGGCTGCAAATCTCTACTCGAAGAAATATGGAAGGTCAAACCTAGACTTCATGTGTTTGGGCATATACACTCTGGACATGGTCGTCAAGCTGTATTTTGGGATAAGGGACAAGAAGCTTATGAGAGGCTTATGGAGAGGAAGAGAGGAGGTTTAATTATGGACTTCATACCGAGTTTTGCATGGGTAGATGCCGCGAAAGTGATTTGGTATGGAGTGAAGGGAATCTTGTGGCAAATATTAATGGTTGGTCCGGCAGGTGGAAATGGTGGATTGATGATCAATGCTGCGGTTGTATATCAATCGTCGACAGATTTGGGAAATCCAGTCGAGATTGTAGAGATATGAATAGTGAACCCCAATGATAGTTGAACTGTTACTGGCAAGTTTATCTTGGAGAGAGCATGGGATAGTATATCGAATATAACTACTATAGGTACCTAAAACCTTCTAAAACTTCATGACTCGGAGACATGATGGTGGAACTCTTTGAAATCTGATTCAGTAAGTGACAATATGACAATATGCTCGCCACCATTGAGCAATATTCCATAACTCTTCTGGTATTTTGAGGCCATACTTGAAAATAAGAATACAAATGTACAAAACCATATCAAACATTTTAAATATCTCATCTCCTCGAAACAACCAATATCTAACCAATATCCATCTAATGTCTGACTTCCCATTGGTCGTATTCCCCTCAATCCTTACCGTAGCTCTCCCCGCATCCGAGGTAGGTGGGGCTCTCATCTGTTGATCCGTCGAAACAAAACATACGGAGATAAGTCGCACTCCATACCGGTACTCCATACTCCATCTGCCAAAACTTTCATCTGTAGTTCGAATGCAACCTTCCTTTAACATTTCTCAATGCTTCAAGATTATCTGTAAAGATAACGCAATGAATGATAAGTTCTCTCAAACGTTATCTTAAATTCTGTATTGAAATGGATACTTGCTGAGACGGTGAGTATTCATGAGTCGGTATACCTTCTACTGTTTCATTCGTTCGCCATTGATCCGAAATGGCGAGTCTCAAATAAGAGGCTGGATATGCCGATTATGGGATGGGCATCCTTTGCCTCAATGGGTATCGCTATTCCCGAGGCTACTTCAAACCACTCTTAAATCCTATCCTAATAAGTATTTACTTTCACAATATCTACACTCGTGCTCTTCTATTTCCAGAACAGTTTTCTTGGATCTATCATCTCACTCTTTCTTTCTCACATATTGTATTTTTTATTGTGGTTGCGATTTCAAAGATACCCAAGCATTCGATTATCACAAGCTGAACGATAAGATGGCCAAGTTGACTGGACAAGAAGTTGCAGAACATAACTCAGGAGAGTCATGTTGGGTTATTGTTCATGTATGTATTTACCTCATCACATCGGGTGGCGATGGCTAATCTCGTTATAGGGGAAAGCATATGATGTTACAGAGTTCTTACCTGGTATGAAGATATATGATGCTATGAAGAGAGATGGAAGTTGATACCATAGACAGAACATCCTGGTGGACCTAAGATTATTCTCAAATATGCGGTAATTACCCCTTAGATATATCAATCGTGTACGGATAACTAATAGTATAATTTAGGGAAAAGATGCAACAGAAGAATACGCACCAATTCATCCACCTGATACACTCGATAAATTCTTAGATAAAGCGAAACATTTAGGACCAGTTGATATGGGTACAGTCGAGGTGGAAGAAAAAGAATTCGACCCAGATGAAGAAGAAAGACAGAACAGGATTGCCCGCATGCCAATTCTGGAACAATGTTACAATTTGATGGATTTCGAGTCGGTGGCGAGAAGGGTCATGAAGAAGACCGCTTGGGCATATTATTCTAGTGGTGCTGATGATGAAATTGTAAGGCTCCCTTACTCTCAGATCTCAGTATGCAATTGCTAACATTAGTAGACGATGCGAGAAAACCATACGGCCTTTCATAAGATATGGTTTCGACCAAAGATTCTTGTCGATGTGGAAAAGGTTGATTTCACTACAACTATGCTTGGAACAAAATGCGATATTCCTTTCTATGTGACAGCTACAGCATTAGGAAAGCTTGGAAATCCCGAAGGAGAGGTCGTCCTAACTCGTGCGGCAAAGAAACACAATGTTATACAGATGATTCCAACTCTAGCATCTTGCTCATTTGACGAAATCGTGGATGCCGCAGGGGCAGATCAGGTTCAGTGGCTGCAACTGTACGTCAACAAGGATCGAGCGATCACTAAAAAGATTGTTGAGCATGCTGAACGTCGTGGTTGCAAGGGTCTATTCATCACAGTCGATGCTCCCCAATTAGGACGAAGAGAAAAAGATATGCGTTCAAAGTTTACGGATGTAGGATCATCTGTTCAATCAAGCAGTGGAACATCCACGGACAATACTCAGGGTGCAGCAAGAGCTATCTCGAGCTTTATCGATCCATCTTTGAGTTGGAAAGATCTTCCTTGGTTTAAATCCATCACCAAGATGCCCATCATTCTCAAGGGTGTTCAACGGGTGGAAGATGTTATCCGAGCTGTTGAATGCGGTGTTCAAGGTGTCGTTCTTTCCAACCATGGAGGTCGTCAATTAGATTTCGCACGATCAGGTATCGAAGTTCTCGCCGAAGTCATGCCTGTTCTCCGGGAACGTGGGTGGGAGAACCGCATTGAGATATTCATCGATGGCGGAGTTCGAAGATCTACTGATATCATCAAAGCCCTATGTCTCGGTGCCAAAGGTGTTGGAATCGGTCGACCATTCTTGTATGCCATGAGTGCGTATGGATTGGCGGGAGTAGATCGTGCGATGCAGTTATTAAAGGATGAGATGGAGATGAATATGAGGTTGATAGGGTGTTCGAGTGTGGATCAGTTAAATCCGACATTGATAGATACGAGAGGGTTGAGTTTACACACTACGATGGTTCCGAGTGATAATTTGGTAAGTTTGGACTTTTTGAACCTGAGGAGAAGACTTTTTGACTAACGATTCATAGGGTATGACTACCTATGATCCTTTAGCATACCCCGCGGAAAAGGCAAAGTTGTAGATGGAGGGGATAACCGGTACCTGTTTTAGCTGCGGGAATTTTGGATAGAGGGATCGAATAGAATACTTGTATATATTATGTGATCTATCTTATATAAATGGCCCTGAACTATATCCACGATTTGGATATCATACTCCATGCTTTAAATATAAACAGCGAACTCATACTAAGATTCCCACTTGAATAGTCCAACTGACAACCAAAACCCCAACCTACTAGCTAAATCAAAACCTAAGTATAAATCTAAAGCTAGAAAGCTAGGAAGACTTTGGTATCTATATTCTTTATTTTATTTATAGTTGATGATAAGTATTATAGATGTATGGAATTAGCCCGCCTCCCCGGCTCACCCCCCCTTGTCTGACTGACAGATACGAGATACGAGACACGATTAGATTATTACTAGTAGGGTTCTCGTTGTGAAGTGAGGGGACTTGAAGTGAAGGGAGAAAAATGAACAAACGAACGGTACTTAATAAATTATTAATTTTCTTGGGGTTTTTATTATTATTATTATTATTATTATTATTATTATTATTATTACTATTATTAATACACTCGAGTAGAGTTTGATATTGAAGTGAACTTGAAGCTATATTTTCGTGATATTAATTCACTTACTTTGCTTTCGAGTGCAGTATTGTTTTTCTGGAGGGTTTACTCGGTATTGGACGACACTAACGAAGTATTTTGGATTGGATTTATTGGGTTTATTGGGTTTATTGGGTTGAGTACGAAGAAGTATCGAGGTCGAGATTTGGACGAGAGAAAGGATTAGATTGGATTGGATCGAAGAGCCATAGAGATTGAATTTCTGCAAAGGAGAGGATTGAGGAGTGAATGTCTGGATTGAAGTGAAGTGAAGGATCGAATCGAATCGGATACTTGCAGATTTGAGTTTTGGGATGAGATGAGATGAGATGATACAATGAAAGATATGATACGAGGATCGACATCAACATGAGGAATATATAAATCATTACGAAACGAAACGAAACGAAACGAAATCAACGGAAACGAATACTTGAACGAACGAACGAACGAATTAACGAACGAATTAACGATACATACGGAAGACACGATACGGAGAGAATTAAAGGCAGAAGAAGAAATAAAGAAAGAAAGAAGCAGAAGGGAAGAGAGGTAGTATACGTACCTAGGGCATCAGTTGAGATTCGAGAGGACGTGGTGGTGAGAGTTGAGAGTTTAATACTAAACGCGATTTTGAGAGGACATACCTAGGGTGAGGTGCTTGAGGAGAAGAAACATAAGAGATATATTTTTGGAGACGACTTGATCGAATAAACGAACAAACGAGCCAACGAGCAAACGGAGGGAAACAGTCTGCGGTATAATATTGTGGGTGAACGAACGAAGAACGAAGAACGAATAACGAATAATACGAGTCATACTATACCGCACCGCACCGCAGAAAACGGTTCGTATTTGGGATATTGCGCAATATTCACCTACCTGCCTACCTGCCTACCTACCTACCCTCTACCAATATACCAATATACCAATATACCAACAACACCCAGATATATCCTCCTCATACATCCCATCACCCCCCCTCGACCATCCAACATCCCACCCACAAAAATGACCACCTCCCTCGAAGCCAAGATCGTCGTCCTAGGCGCCCAAGGCGTAGGCAAAACCTCCCTCCTTCTCCGCTACATAAAAAATCAATTTAATCCGAAAACTACCACGTCGACGGTGGGAGCCAGTTTTCTGACCAAGAGGGTGGTGGATACCGAGAGTGATACGGTGGTGAGGTTGCAGATTTGGGATACGGCGGGGCAGGAGAGGTTTAGGTATGTTTGGGTTTTTATTTTGTTTTTGAGGGGGTGTATGGGGCTTGATAGGGTGAGGGGGAAGTGATGGTGGAATGGGATGGGATGGGAGATTAAGAGAATGAGAATGAGAATGAGAATAAGCACAAGTAAAAATAAAAGATGCTAACCACTCAATCTCCAACCCACAGATCCATATCCCGCCTCTACTACCGTGGCGCAAACGCATGTATCCTCTGCTATAGCATCACATCCCAAACCTCCTTCAACGAAATGTCCGTCTGGCTCAACGAACTCCGTCGCAACCTCCCTCCAGATATCATCCTACATGTCGTAGGCACCAAAGCCGATCTCGTTGCCAAGGATCCTAGTGCGAGGGAGGTCCCATTCGAAAGATGTATTGCATATGTTGCTGAGAATGTAACATCTGTATTGGGCGGTACACCACCCGCCACCGCACTGGGAGGTGAACGTAGTTCTGGGAGCTGGGGCGGTTCTGGAGGAGGAATATGGGGATCTGGTGGAACGGGAGGGCAAGGGACGATGGCGGGAATGGAAGGCGCACGTTCGCCTTCTAGTAAAAGGAGTTCGGGATTTTGGGGCATGGAAGTCGGATGGGATTGTTGTCATGAGGTTAGTGCGGAAAGTGGAGAGGGTGTCGAAGAAGTCTTTAGAGTTATCACGAGGAAATTGGTCGAGCAGAATAATAAAATGAAGGAACAATTGATGAGTGCAGCTCAAACACCTGGAACGCCCATGGGTGCGGATGGAATGGGATTGGATGGGCAATCGGGATATTTTGATGGGATTATGAGACCAGGGGGAAGCTTTAGGGTGGGGAGGGGCGATCGGAGGAGTTGGTTGTTGGGGCTTACGGGGGGTGGGGCACCGATAGGTGGGAGTGAGGTGCAGATTGGTGGGGGAGTGGGTGCGGGTGCCGGTGGCAATTCTCATGGGGATGTGAGGGAGAGGAGGGAGAGGAGAGATGAGGAGGGCGTGGAGGTCAAGAGGAAGGGGAGATGTTGTTGAGGGGGGCTTACTTTGCAGTGGTTGATTAGGGTAAAGGATGAGTGATGAAGTTTAACGAAGGATATCGCGAGTGGATATTAGAAGTCACCCTCTTTGCCTTTGATACTCACGCGAAGGGGAATTAGGGAGCGGGGACGAGGAAGCGAGGATGAGGAAGCAGGGATGAAATAATTATATCAATCCCCGCCCACTACTTATAGCCACTGGCCCCAACAGGAACGGAAACACCAGAATTGGCTTGGGAGAATCTCTTTGAGGGGATTGGGATTGAGATATCGATTCCAGATAATCCAAATCGAAATTAAAGTCGAAGTCGGAGAAGGAGAGCGAATGAGAGAGGAAGAGGGAAGAGGGAAGAGGGAAGAGGGATGGAAGAGAGAGAGAGAGAGAGTTGATACCCTTTTTACTTTTTGATTTTATTATCGTCGTTATTGTTATTACTCTTCTTCTTCTTTCTTTTCCAGCTTAGTGTGTTATGTGGAGATGGAGATGGAGCGGGAGTCCATTTTGGAATGCATTGGAATGAAGGGAAATAGGTGGGAAGTGGGGATATCATTATATGGTCTGATATGGCATAGTATGGTGTGTTGTGTGTGGTATGGGACTATATGATATGATCTGATATGATAGAAACAGAGGTGAATGAGAGATGGGGAGGTTGGGAGGGAGGGATTGGAAGGGAGAAATTGGAAGGGAGAAATTTGGAGGGGAAAGGGAAGGAGAGAAGTGAAGGAAAGGAGGGAAGGGAGGAGGCTTTAAATATGATGTTTGGTGTCTGATATTTGGAATTTGACATTGGGAATTTTGAATTTGGAAGTTGGGGCGTTTGAAATTGGAATTTGGGTTTAGGGTATGCATGATATGAGTATGAAAGGTTTGATGATGTATGCATTGGTTGGAGCGGGTTGAGAAAATTGAGTTAAGAAGCTTGATATTTAAGAGATGAGAAATACGGATAAGAAATACAAATAAGAGGTCAGACCATAAATCTTGAGTCTTGAGATTTGAAAATTGAAACTTGAAGCGTGAAGAATAAGAATAACAAATGGGCCTGGGGCTGGGCCGGTTGGGTTGGGTTGGGTAGATACTCGTAGATAGATAGATAGATAGATATATTGTTATGATTTATCAGATAAGATATAGAGTAGAGAGGGATGGATAGGGATATGGATAGATACAGATACGATTTTCTATTTGGTAGGTGCTAAGGTGGTAAGGTGATGAGGTGAGAGTGTTGGGATGAAGATGTAGATGGAGATGGAGATGGGGATTAGTTGTTAGTTAGTGGATAGGTTAGTTGTTAGTTGTTAGTGGAGTGGTTAGTTGTTAGTGATTAGGTTAGTTATTAGTTAGTGATTAGGTTAGTTGTTAGGTTAGTCGTTAGTTGTTAGATTAGTTTAATAGTTAGATAGGTCAACAGATAAGTAAATAAATATACAGGATATACAAATGAATACTCGAATCCATACGAGTACTATTTATTATATTGCCAATATTTATATATATATACTCAGTAAAGTGATTTGATTATTTATTCATACTACGAGTACTCGAGTATATATTATTTGATTAAATTATATTGTGTGTATACTCGACTTTTACAATTCCAATTCCAATTCATACGCGTCTTTTCGCTTCTACTCGAGTACTCGTATTTAGATTTAGATTTAGATACCTCGGATATACTCGTAATATGAATATATATACACATATATGCATACATCCCCTAACTTAAAAACGCCAGATCTATATAAAGCAAGCAAGCAAATAAGTAAGTAACAAATTCTCACCCCCTTCTTCTTTGTCTTTTTTCTATATACCTATCTACTCCAATTCCAATTCCAATTCCCAACTCCCAAAAAAACTACTCGAGTGAGTAAAGCTTCACCTCACCTCCTCCTCCAAACCCCCATTCCCCACCCCCCTCTCAAAACAGCCAATCCCCACGCCATGCCCAAACTATCCCACATAACATTTAGCTTACTACCTCCTACTTCATGCCAAGCAATTGCTTGTTCTGATACCCTTATGCCCCCTCCTCTTTCCCTTCCCTCAGCATTTCTCTCTTTTCCATCACTAACTCCCGCCTTCCCGTTTCCCACAAAACTACCTGTCGCAGGTGCACTTTCAGCCAACATAAGCATTTCGACATCGAAGATCCAGCCCTCAGCATGCATATAAGGAATAATATGTGGTAGGGCCGCTCGTGTAAAAAGTTTAAACCCGCATTGTGTGTCTCGAATACGGGATGTGGCGGGTGGAGTAAGAAGACGTAGGAGGAGATGAAAGGAATGCATTAGAGCATTGCGGAGAGCGGAGCGCTATTTGTGTTAGTTTTTGGATGTATGGAGATATGAATATTTGAGGAATGGGTGGAAATAAGAGAGAAACATACCTTAACAACTGCCTCACTCCCTACCAACCAAGCTCTACTCCCAACTGCAACACCCCTCCCCTCAGAATCCACCACCTTTTTCACCCCCTCCACCAATTTCCCCAAATCTGTAAACCGACTCGCACCATCCGCATCAGCAAATACTGCATATTCTCCCCTCACATGTCTCATTCCATGCGTGACCGCTCCCCCCTTTCCTCGATTCTTTTCCAACGTCACTATCCTCAAAACATCATGTAGATTATTTTTCCTCGAGAAATCCAATGCTACTTGTACGGTTTTGTCCTTGCTACCATCATTTACGAGCAGGATTTCATAGCCTGTTCCGCTGCCTTTGCCTTTGGAAACCCGACCGTAGGTATTATCTAGGACGGAGAGAGCTTCTTCCAGCATGCCGGTTAAACGTTCTTCTTCGTTGTAGGCGGGTACTACGAGACTCATTTCGATTGAGGCGGGTTCAATGACTCCGGTACTGATATCCTTTTCTTGAGTGTGGCTTATTTTTGAGGTGGAGGCTTCGCGGTGGGCAAGCCAGCTGTCGTACCAGCAGGTTAGGGGTTTGGTTTCTGTTGTGCCGGAGGGGGTAGTTGTTGTGTATGTTTTTTCTGAGAGGTAGGGCAGTCTAGGGACTGGGGCGACGAGTAATAAAAGTGTGTATATCTAATATGCATCGTTAGTAAATCTCTCCATAGTACGAAATACTAATTCCCATCGCAGAAAGTAAACCGCGAACATAATATAATCCCCAAAAGAAACAAGAAAGAAACTCACACAACCCAATCCCACAATCACCAATCCCACCAAAGCCAACAAAAACATATGCACCGGCATACTCCTCACAACATCCCATATCCCCTCCAGTATATTCAACGGAAACTCCAGGATCCCGATCCCCTCCATATCGAAGTTGCGACTGCTTGATTGAAACCGTGACTTCCTTCCCCTTGCGTCAATTAAGCGTCAATCGAATCCCTTCCTTGAATCCTCCAATAATAGCCCCGCAGATATAAAGTTGCGCAATCCCAATTTCTTCCTCAACTATTCTATTCTTCGTACTTTGTATTCCTAGTCCTAGAAACCTTCACTTCAATTCGTCCACCTCGGTATCATCCAACCACAATCACAACCACAACCGCAATTGATGTGCTAAGCTGTGCTATAAATCAATCAATCTCAATTATCCTGCACCCTCACTCACTATAACCCGATCCACAGTCGCAATCGCAGTCGCAGTCGCACACACTTCAATCGCAATCCCAATCTCAGAATCCCCCAAACAACCAGACAACCAGTCCCAACCAGTTCCAATCCAATCGGCTCTAAACCCTCAACCCTCAAAAAGTCCACAACGAGCGATTGAGCGCAACAAAAACAAAAAACAAACAAGTTATCCACAAAGTAAAAGGCCCCCAAGAACGCAAAGGGCAGTCCAGTCCAGTCCGCCCAGTCCAATCAATCCAATCACTCAATAAGTGAAGACTCAATCAATAAATCAATCAACCAACCAAATCAACCAAATTAATCAACAACTAATCAATAATCAAATAAATCTAAAAAGACACAGTTGAAGACATGAAGTAGAAGCACGACCTTGTCTCTGTAATTGTAACAGCCAGAGACATGGTCAAAGCGTATGCATAATACGAATGAATATCCGATTGGCTGACGCGGAAGGTGTGGCTGTGGCTTTTAGTTTCGATGGTTAGTAGTTCTTCGTCAGCCTTATGCGAAGTGGGGTTATTGGACCCCCTATGAATTGTGCAGTCGTGGTTAGCTTACCTATTCCCTTCAAGTCTTGATTGGATGTTGACTACACGACTACACACATTGTAACACCGCAATAAGTATGCCAATTACGATCTGCATTCATATATCATATATCATATACTTTATACTGAATGTTTGCCAAGTCAAACTGATTACCCCTCTTCTTTTTTTCAAATCTTCAGTTCCTTCTAATATTGCTTCCAATTAAAAAGAGTCGCAGATTCCATATAACATGATCTGACCAGCGTTGGAGCAATTTCTCGGCTTTGTGGCTGTCTGTTTTTGCAGAGATATAGTATAGAGAAGAAAGATTAACCAGATTTTTCCTCCAAAATTAGGTTCGTTCTGGAACAAGCTCATTCCTAAGCTGCTGTTGTATATTCTTTCCTGCGATAGGTTTCATTGTGAAAGATGATACAATCGAAGTTGGATCGCTTGAGGATACAGTATCGTCCAATCCTAAAAGAAGGTTTCGTAAATCTGTCTTGCATCCATTTCCTTGCTTGAGAATTCGAGAATGAGAATAATAGGTTCCATTGTACCTACCTGTAGCTGATGGTTGGTCCTGAATCTTGTAATATATTGTTTTGTTGTACATTCATTGGTGGTGCACCAGCTGGCCAATAAAGATTATGATATGAGGGTGTCCTCAAGTCATTTTTAGAGGGTTCTTTGCAAGGAAATCCTGTAGATATGGATAATGTGGATCGTATGATTCAGCAGACTTAGAATGTGATGATATTCTGCTTTCAATCAAATGAAGGAGGGGGGGTCGCTTATCCAAAAGTAGTATACTGCACAACTCCTATATAATATCGTTGCATATCTACAAATCAATCTGCAATCTCCAAAACCTATGAAACTTTTATCCTATCTTTTGTTGCATATTTCTCTGTTCTGTGTGGTGTGACTTCTTTTGGTTACAGCTGTATACTCGAGTATATAATATGTGTTAATGCCATTGCTGCAACCATGATTTATCGAGATCTGGTAATTCAACCAAATTGATTACGATAATATATGCAGGAAAAACCTAGTGTTTTTTTTGTATAGATTTTGGATAATACGAGTATAAAGCATTCTAAAATATTCTATAATCTAATATCTAATATCTATTCAGGAAAAAGCACAAATCATATATATATACTCTAAGAAGATGAATCCCAGCAACAATCCAAACCGTCGTCGTTCTAATCCCGATCGAGATCCTCCTGGTTTATATCGTGAAGATGCTGCTACAGATCTTCATGGTTATGGAGGCCATCATCGCGAAGGTGAACGAAGATATTCACGAGATATACAAACAGATGGCTCAGCTCCTCGATATCGAGTGCGTGAGTTCGGTGTACCCCGCGATCAAGCAGCCCGCGATGCAACCCACGATTCGTCGATATGGGATGAGAAAGAGAAGAGAGATGGGAGAAGATATGAAGAAAGAGGAGGTGGTTCCGGTGGTAATTTCGGTGGTCGTTCCGGTGGTCGTTAAGGTGATCTGGTCATGGGTGATGGTTCCGGTGGTGGGTTAAGGTAGTCAGTCATCAGTCTGGTTATAGTGATTCCGGTTATGGTAATTCTAGTTGTGGTGATGATTTTGGTGATGATTCTGGTGATGGTTTTGGTGTGTGGTCTAGTTATGGTGGGTCCAGTTGTGGTGGTGATCCATCCAGTTGTGGTAAATCCAGTTGTAATGATGGTTCAGTTGTGGTAATTCATTCTAGTTATGGTTCTGGTAATGGTTTTGGTGTTAGTCCAGTTATAATGATTTTCAGTTGTAACAATCCCAGTTATAATGATTTCAATCATAATATAATGATTCCAATTATAATATAATGATTTCTAGTAATGATTCTAATACTAATTCATTCTGATGATAATTCTAACCCGGGAGGTAGTTCTGGTAGTTCTGGTAGTTAGTTGTTCAGGTGTGTGTTGCAGAGCTCTCAATCCAAATGCTGTTTGTATACTCACTCGCAGTAATATCAAGATTTGAATATCAAGATTTGTAGCGATAAGATAGATCCCAAAGCTATTTATAGAGAGTGTTTATATATCAGAGAAAGAATGATGTATATCCTTTCTAGAGTACTCGTATTACTATTGTAACGATAAATAAATATATTTGGAAGGTTACAAAAACAAGGTCATCCAATTGAGGAAGGAAGTTGAATTCCTGAATTATACTACGAGTATATAAGATAGTGTTTGGTAATCGAAGCATATACTGGCCAGTACTCAGGCGGGTCTTTGAAGAGGGCCCGAGTAGGTAGCCTTGTGCATACCGGTATATTGATACATCACATCACATCTAATAATAATAATAATTTGAAGCCTCAAGATGTTTCGATTCATATTTAATGTCTATTCGACATAAGATGGTATCAAACATCTCAACAACTCATCTCAACTCATCTCATCTGTTCTCATCTTCCTCTCCCTACCTAATCATTCATTTCCTTCTCCCTCCCTTCCTTCTCCCTTCCCAACCAATCCATTCATCCATCCACCTTCAGAACTATGAAAGCCCCAGAACTCTCTCTTCCTCTCCCCTTTCTACTGTACAAGTATCGGAAATCAAGTAATCGCAAAGTTTCCCTCCCCTCCCTTGCAAATCACCTGAAAACAAGCCAAGCCAGGCCAGGCCAAGGAAACAATATAAAATATTGCTCATGATGCAGGTAAAAATTGAGGTATTGGCGCCAAAGCCAAAGCAATGCCACAAAGCAATCGCAGTCATCTGTTTGTCTGTAGTTTTATATCAATCAATGAGCAGCATTCCTTCCCTCCCTTTCGCCCAAACTCCATTTCGTGCATTCAAAAAGCGCCATTTCCCCGAAGAGATCCCAATCTTCCATTAAAAACAGATTCGCAAGTCAACATAACAGCATCTCAACTGGCGCTACCACCAGGGCTATCACCACCGGTTTTAATGGCTGGAGATAAGCTGATGGCAATCTTCTTAGGTCCATTACTGCCATCTCGAGTTCTGTTGAAGCTCTGTTTCCTCCTAATCACGCTGCTATTCGATGCTGTAGAAATTGTCGAGCTTCGTCGTTTATGATTGGAAAGTTTGCCAAGTTCATCTTCCTCATCTTCTTCTCTCCTCCGTTTTTCCGATAATCTTTCAGGTGGAGTAGGTGTGGAAGAAGTAGGAGTCATGACTATCTCGTCCCCGCTGGAATCTTTTGAAGCTAAAGATTTATGCGAAGAGCTCCGACTGAGGGGAGCAGAGGCTAATCCAGTGGAAACGTCGTTTTCTGAATTTTCATTTTCTTCATCCGATGGATAGTCAACCAAAGGTTTCGAAATAGGCGACGCTCCGTTCGTCAGGTTCCGATTATAATGAGATTTATCTTCGTCGTCATCAGATGTGTTGAAATATGCTTCTTCGTCTGCATCTAAGTCCTTGATACCCGAGCCCCATCTACTGCCTCTACCTGTCTCCGGTCTCTTCGGACTTTCGTCTTCGGTGTCGAGGAAGGAAGTTTCCATACTTGAGGCAAATCCTTGGAAGCTGTCATGACTGTTGATGAAATTTCTAAATGTGTCGACATAGGTGATGGTCTCAAATTTCTCTCGGTAGTTTTCCACCAAGTGTATAATCAAAACCCTCTGACTAGGACCCTGGCTCTTGATGAAATCGAAAAACTCCAAACACGCCGAATTCAAGAGATTATCCCGAGGCATGGTTTCAATCACAAGATCTAAGATTGGCTCAAAAAGATGATCTTGCATCATCTGCTGGTTGTAAAACTCATCTTGTAAACCAATCAAATTTCGGAAGAACTTCAATGCCGCTGAAGAGTTGTCAGTAGAGTTTGTGACATTCGGGGACACGAAAACTTACTTAATTTAAGGTATTTCTCTGGACTGTCCAAAAGCTGAGAAATGCGTTGAGCAAGCCCTTCTGATAACACAAAATATTTGCTGCGGTGCATATGCTGTCTGATGAAAAAGCAAAGAATCTCTATCAGATAGATGAACAAAGATACTTGGTGAACCGTGAAGTCCATATCCTCTCGTCCCTTCAAATCCATCAAAGGTTTAAACAATTTCTTCGCGGATTCTTCATAGAAGTGATTAAGGAACAGTTCATGCTGAGGATCTACCTGAGGTCGAGGTCTAGCTACAACCTCACCGTTGGCTGCTTTGGGAGGTGGTTCCACTGGCACAGGATGGATACCTGGATCCAGAAGAACCTTGATTGCATCTGCTATTTGAGCCTTCACACCCAAGTCTGCTTCTACAAGAAGGAGATCGATAAGAGAATCAGTTAGAAGAGTTTGCTTCTCATTCATTTGTCGAAATATGGTTTGACGAATCATATAAGGATCATGATCAATCATGGAAACCAATACATCTGTGGCTCCGACCCGCACTCCAACATCATTATGTCGGAGAGCAAAGTTAATGACAGACAATAGACCATGTCCTAAGAAGTTATTGTATAGCGTTTGTCGTGCCGGTTGCTGCAAATTTTTGGCAATGGCACAGCACTGTTGTATGAAAAGAACAGCCTCCTTCTTCCTCTCTTGATCTGTCTCTTGTGGTCCAAAAATTCCAAAAAGTTCTTCAAGGAAATCAGTATTGGCCTGCAGATGTTGAACGATTTCGACTTGATTGAAGAAGATGAGGCCATTGAGAACCGAAAAGGTGGGATCGTCCAAGATCCGGGCGAGTACAACATCTTTAAGATATTGTAATCGATAAGTATGATGAATCTTTCTCCGCACATTGACATCGTCTATCCGAACAACCTCCTTATATCTACCCTCTCTACCTAACCAAAGTCGATGATTGGCCTTATGACTTGGGAAATCCGGATCATACTCCAAAGCCCCGACGACACCAAGAACCACCTCATCCGTTACGATATGCTCGACGATCGAATTGTCGTTCAACAATATCATCATCTTCATTATCGTGCAAAGTCGATGTAAACTTGGAAGATCCTCCAAGTCTTCGGCAATTTCCACCAGTGGTATCAATCTTCGGATATAGTTTTCGTTAATGACCAATTTCGTAAGGGCTTCGCGTCCAACTGTTGTATTGCTCAATCCTCTCATCTGTGCCTCTAATTCAGGTAAGCTACCCAGCGAAGGATTGGGGAGAGACGTTGGAATATTTGGCTCGGGGACAAGATCGTCTGATGTACTATCCTCTGGGGAGAACTATAAGCATATGATCATAAGAGCAGACATAATATCATAAGCGGGGAAGTTTAGAAGATAGCCCAACTTACCCTCTGTATTGGTCTTATTAGATGCAGCTAACGTCGTTTGTATATTATTGATAAATCTCCTGTAACAACTATCAGTCTAATGCGCCACTATCTGATGACGCGTTGATCGCGACATGCCACCACTTACCATACAGCCGTACAGCCCTCTGCTTCCTGAAAGCTGAGAGCCATGTCCATGATACTACTCGGTTCTGTCCATACTATGAGAGTTTCTGGAGGGGAATCATTAGTATGAGTCGGGGTAATCATGCGCTGATGCAATATACCTTGCTGTTTCAGAAATTCATCTGCTTTCACTATCTTGGTCTCGAGGAGGATACAGCCTGGTTGATCTTCCGACTGCACTATAACTCTAGGATCTGATTTTTCAGGGCCATTGTCCTATACATATTCAAGATGATTAGGCAACATGATTCCAACGAGAGTATAGAGGAAGAATAGGGATAAGAAAGATGGACGCGCAAGCAATGGCCGTTTGGGTCAAGATTGAGAAATAACAAGTGAACATACAACCATGAAGTCAGCTCTGCAAAAGCCAGTGCCTCTATCAACCCAGTCGCCATTGCGCAACTCATAGACCTTGACTCTTCTCTTGTCATTCGGCGGATTTTGAGTAGGCCCTCCCGCCTGCGCCATTATCGAAAGTTGTGGTTCCCCCTCCAATTCCTCTTCCACGTATTCCAGTACCTCCGATGAGATATCTAAGTGTTGTTGAAGGGACAGTTGCGACTGCGTTTGAGTAAGAACGGACGCCACAGTGGATCGTATGCGCCTGGTCGCGCGTAAGTGGGAAGTTGATTAAGGCGTCGGAAGGACTTCTCTGCGACGAGATAAGGATTGAATATAGTAAGCGACCGTAATGATTACTTCTAACGGTTAAATCAGATTGAATTGCGATGATTTTCGGATTGTCGTGCGGGTTAATTTATCTGCTTGCTTGTTGGCGTTGCGGGTTGCGGGTTCGGGATGATGAAATTGTGAGTGGAACTTTATTTATTACTGTACACGCCATACAATTCACTATTTAACTCTCGCTAAAAAAAGTGCCCAAGCAAGGTAAGGCAAGGCAAGCAAGCAGGTGGTTCTCTATACAATTTAATAGATAGCTAATAAGCAAGATATGATAAATATAGAACAACTACAACAACAATAATAATAACCTAATTGACTCTTATTTGGATATATATTATGATTAATTTGGGACAATGATCAATGATCTTATCAATATATTGAGTGGGGATCAATTTGGAATCTCCAATTTTTAAATCCATAGTCACGTGTACAAGTTAAGCTTTCAACCAATCGTGATCTTACCCGATGAATATTCTGTGCTGATGTTTCAAATTTGGAGATGGATAGTCATAAACAATATTCCAAGCGAATATTCCTGTTAGTATTATATTTTATCCCATCTAGTAGTTATATACAATACCGGTACATGAATGACGTGAATTATGGTGCTGTATAACTAAGTGATTTCAACGGTAATGTCGATGATAAGAATGATGTCGAGAATACCTTCATTCTCGCGCTTCTTGAGACATGGAGAATACCGGTACGGTGTCTAGCTAGATCTTCGAGTCTTTAACACTTTCATCCCTGGTCGGTCTGACCAGGATCATATCCCGATGCATGATTGATTGAGCAGATACAAGGGCATTGGTAGTGGGGAAGGAATAACTCGATAACCGGCCGGTAGGTATAAGTTCGAATTTCATTCAGCAAAGAATCTGAGGAAGGCTGTGGATGGCCCCTGGGTATCATAAAGTACCCATGGTAAAGAAAGGGATTGTTACTTTGAGCTTGATTTCAACAGTAAGTACATCCATCTACTACTAACAATATCGAATTTCTCAAATTTCGGTACCGATAAAGCGATAGTCCTCTTTACTGCCAAACCTTGTTTTGGAAATTGGGAATGAGCTGGGATTTTGTCTTTGCAATCAATTTAGCGTTTTGATAACCCCGCCATGCCCGCCTTTCATATTCCTCAGGGAAATGAGGGGTACAAATAAATGACCCTTTTAGGTAGTCTTGGAGAAGAAGATGTGTAAAGAATGGACTTCTCTGATAACAACCACTGGGTCTGCTTATCACCCTTCCAATGAAAGAGCTCATAAAGTCCATTCAGGTTACAGCAATATCCGGAAGTATGCATGGCGTTTTCTCCGATAATCTCTAGTCATGATTCTCTTGTTATTGGCGATCAAAAGGGGGTTGGCTGCAATTTAGGATCAGCCCATAATACGCACACGCCGGGCGACGGATTAGTATGTCGATCATGATGATTGGAGCCGTTTAGTAGGGATATATTATAATCAACCTCCCGTTTTGATAACGACAACCTTGGTATTCGCCGATCAACAAAAACATTCCGAGCTCAATATAGGGTTCAATCTATTATTCCGCCAGCAGGTTAATTAACATATACTTACTGTATTACTGATCAATCTTCACAGCAAGTTGGATATGACGAGCGGAGAAAGGGTCAACGCTTTAGCTTCAATCATCGTTGTATAGTTCAACGCTGTGGTTGGTAGTGCTATCTCTCAGAGACATTCTCGATACTCAATCACCATGCTGTAGTATTTTCTTCTTTGATCACGATTTGAGAAAAGGAGCTTCCGTTAAGTCGTTTCCTCTCCGAAGATACACGATTAATAGAAGTCTAGCTCCTATTTTCGAGCCTCAGGTGGTGGACAACGATACAGTAAAGTATGATTCATACTGTCCTCTCGGTTTACTAACAAATCTGTTTTCACATGGCGATCACATCTTTTTTATCCCGACGGAAAGGAACTGTTTCAGCTCCGCACGGCGGTTGTCCCAGTTCATCGGAAGATTTTCCATCTATGCCTAGGTACTTTTCTGTTTTTCAAGGTCCGACTGTGCCGAAGTTCTATGCTAACCTTACTTAGGTTATTGCATGGTCAATACTCGGATATGCGCATATTTTCTGTAGTACCGGTGGTAAGTGCTACCAAAAGCATACGGTGACGCCCTATATCTTTCTACCTAGTACTTTCCGACATGTGTCGGGATTACAAGGGACCATGAGGGAGTACAAAGTACTCTCAAATGAAAATTTGAAAATTTTGACTTGGATTGCTTCAGCTATTGATCTACTCATCGTTTCCGAATATCAAGCTATAGCAGAAGAGTTTGTTTATTGTCGTTTGATTCGGGGCCGATGGTTAGGTAGATGGAACTAAAGACGTTCATCCCCAAAAAACGTTACAAGAAAAATACGAGGTGATAAGAAAGCGGAGAGCAAGGCTCTGTGCTTCACCCAGTCTATTAAAGATTCAGAGTAGGCTTAATCGGCGACGATATTGCGCTACATACAAAGGTTTGCATTTAGCATCCTGCAAGCCACCTATCGGTATGACTCCGATGGACAGGTAGCATGTACGCAATTTGATAGCAACAAAAGAAGCTTTGATCCGTTGCTAGGTACAATGGGTGATGGTGGGTTGAAGGTATTGATATTGATACTTTAAAAGATGGAAACAGGAGATTGAAATATATCGCAGCATTGTTGTACATATTTCCACGACTCGGGGATCCTGGGAATAATTATATCTGGTTAGGTGGGTATTTAATAGGGATTCAAGATGGTACACTGGTACAGTTGTGCCCGAATAAGCACGATGCAAGCAGTATGCCTAGGTAAAAGTACGAAGGAAAAGGATGCGAGGAAGGGGTACAAGAGTGGTTACCCATTTGATGGCGGCGTCTTGGTTTTGAACATCTCTCAGATGGTCAGACCACCTTTTTGAAGTCAAATAAAATCCAGATTATTCCCTCCTTTACCAAAATTTCATACATCTCTTGCATCTATCTACATAAAGTTCAGCTGGATCCTAATCAAGCTGATAATCGGGACTTTCAATTAATCAACACTTTATCTTGTATAACATGATATTGTAATACAATCACAGCAAGTACATAAATATGTACACCGTGCAGTGCCTACAGTTAATTTATTATTTTTAAAGAGTCCGTCGGCACATCTATAATTTATTATCGCATACTACTGTACAATGATATCTATCTTCTTATCTTCTTCCAAAAGTTATATCAACTGTTTTCCTAAATCATTAAAAACCCCTGCTTTTTCCCCGGAGTCATCAAGACGTCCCTTCCTCCTTTGTACATTTCCATTCTAAGCGAAAACAAGATATCTCCTCAGATTCAATAGTCGTTTTCCATCCACTCGTATATGCGACTTAAAACAGCCACAAAAAAGAGAGAGGAAAAAAGATTTTTGTTGCAAGGCCAAATTACTCGATACTCTATTTTTGTTCCTGGCCCGTTACTGAATCAGTACAGTACAGTACAGTTCTGTAACACGTTTTCGGACCTTTCCCGCGTGTTCTATACCTGGTTCTATGATTCATGCCAACGAGGCATCTTCTATGCTAAGAATTTTTCGACGGAATATACCGTATATGGTATAGGGACGCTGCAAACGATATCCAGTTACCAAGTTGCCAAGTTACCAAGAAGTTACCAGGAAGTTACCAACTCTACCGACCGACAGCACAGTTGGTATTAGATTCATCAAATCATTCAAAACCCCTGTACAGCCACAGCCAGTCATCAATACATACCATCCATCAAGCGATCTAGATCATTGGATTTGAGATCCGTAGTTTTGATATTACCATCCCACGATAAAGAAAGAGGATACCGAATACCGAATACTTTCAAAGGCAGTGCAGTGCAGTGCAGTGCGGGCTGTGCAGCAGCTTGCATATATTAAAGGTTCCTGCAAACGATCTTCTATTTCCGACTATCAAATCAGCATCAACTCAATATCAACATCAACGATTTATCTTCTTGCGTCATCCATCTCACTTGACTTCACTCTACCTTACATTATATCATCCCACTTTACTTCATCTCACTTCACTTTACATACCTAATCTTACTTTACTTCATACTACCTCATCTCGCATTACTTCACATTACCTCTCCTCACCTCACTACATATTACTTGATTCTTACATTTATCTCCTTCAACATCAAAATCAATCTTCAAGCAACCATGTCCATATTCTCAAAGATCAAGAGCTCTCAAAAGGCTGCTCAAAAACATAAAGAAAAGGCCACCGCCGAAGAATATCAACAAAAGCAAGCGGAGGAAGCAGCTACCAAAGTTCCATACAAACACATTCCAACTCATGCTGCAATTGATGCACTTTCTGGAGCACCTTCATCCTGGAAAAGGGATGATCGAACCAAAATCTTAGAACATCATAAACGAAGAAGTCAGATGACCATCAGTCGTACTCATAGTACTCTTTCCACTGTTTCATCCATGAATACTACAACTGAATCCTCTTCTGGCATTCCATCTCTACCACGCAACATCAGTTACAATAGCTACAATCCCACATGGAATAATCGTACGGGTGATAAGTCATATTCGACAGAAAAGTTTCAATTGCGATCGCAACAAAACCTTAGATCCAAATCCTCAACACCATACTCTAATCACGGAATTGACTCTGCTATTGGTAGAAGTCCATTATCTAGTCATGTTCAAAGTGAAGGTACCTCATTCTCTATCTTATCTATTGCCATCAAACTGTAAACTGACTTCATTGTGTCAAAGCTCCATCCCCAGTAACTAGTTCTGGAACCAGTACGATAACATCATCGTCATCTTCATCATCTTCATCCGACGATCTCGAAATAACTACTGTCTCCAGTGTCCCACGAAGGCTACAACCTCGATATTCCTTCAGACCTGAACCAGTCGTATTTGAAGACCATGATGTTTTCTCCAGATTACACACAAGTACCACCCGAAAATTGGGCGAAGCACCAATTATGACAGCACCGCAAGCTCAACTATCTAAACCAACACCAGTCATGGTAGCACCACAAATCGCACACAAGAAAAGTCGCTGGACTTTGATAGGAAAACACAAACCTTCACCTATTGCTGTTTGATCTTGGCATCGATGATAACCGGAAAAATTCATAAAATTCAATTATTTTCAATATATTGATCCAGATGCGAGAGGAAAGCTGCAGATCTTTGAGCTCCCTTCTCTTCCTCTGTTCTTCGAGGGTCATTTCCTTTGCTAAAACACCGCTTGTAACGATGGGAACCTGCATTCTTTCTCGCGCATCGCATGGTATGGTTACAATACTTTGCTGCCTACATCTGCCTACGTGCGAAGGGACTCTCATACGATCACTTGGTTCAACCTGTCTAATTTTTTACCTCACAATCAAGACATTTTACTTCATTAGTTCAATTCATTTCGCTGTCATATGATTTATTCTCTTTTTTTTTGTACATTGTGGGAGGAGGCTAGAAAGATGAAAGGGAAGGAATCATGACTTCCGCAGTACAGGGTTTCTAAAATTGGTTTCTTCTGTTGTGTGAGCAACTTTGTCATACTTGGGATGCATAATACATACAAGGAGAAGAGGATACGAGAATCCGATGACATTAGGTAGTACGAGTATATGGGATCGGATGAATTGGTGAAAATAGATAGGCAGGCACGGGTTCCGAAGTTTCCGAATTGATTGTTGGCTGTAGAGTGAACAGGATGGATGGTGGATGTGGCTCGACCTCTGTAACTTAGGATGGGTAGCTAGTGTGGTGGTTGAATGGTGGATGAATGGATGGATGGATGGGATTAGATGGAAATGGGATGGATCGGATGGGGAGGTGTATATTTTGAGATTCAATTCTTGGACACTGCTACATATAGTACGTGTGGCTGGGTTGTGGTAATAACTTGCTTGAGCTTGAGATGAAGCTGAAGATGAAGCTGTAGCTGGACGGCTATGTTTTAATAATATTATGAATAGATGGATGAATGAATGAATAAATCAATTCAAATTAATACTATACAATATACATTCTATAAAATGATTATTTTGTTTATTTGCTCGAGTATTTTAATATATTTTCTCACTTTTCTACTGAATTATCTATAGCTTATATTTATACTTCAAGGCTTATATTATATCTTTTTATTAAAAGATTTATTAATCTCTTTATTTTCAATATTCAATATTTACTAATACTCTTAGACTTTCGTTTTTCTGAAATTCCTATTATTCTCTTGAATATTATCAAATAATATGAAAGAGTAAGTTCAATTATTTTATATATTGCTCTTCAAAGACCCACCTGAGTATATATACATTTTTTTGTTAAGGGAATGAATAATTGAATGAATAGATAAATGAATGAATTATAATAAATTATAATAAATCTCTACTCGTAGATAGAATCTCTAGATAGAATCTAATACTTATATTCCGAGTCTGATTTCAAGTTATTTTCTTATATATATAGCCTAGTAGAATGAATTATATATAAGTTGAAGTAGGAATGAAGATGGGAATGAATACTAGAGATAGATGAAGATGAATACGAAAGATGAGAATAACTTGTGATTTAGACTTTGGAATAACTTGAGTAAATATTAATACTAAGTATTGAGTGAGTATTAGAACTGGTCTTTGGGATATTGATATTGATATTGAAGTGAATGTGAGTGAATGTGAGGAGTATAGAATATAGAATATAGAATAGATTTCTAGAGAAGAATAGAAGAATAGAAGAGTAGAAGAGTAGAAGGGAGGTGATTAGAAAGAAGTGGTGTGAAGTGAATTGAAATAGGATATGAAATAGGGGAGGATATGAAGGGAAGGGAAGGGAATTAGGGGGGAGGGGGGGAGAGAAAGTGAGAATGAAAAGAGGAAAGTGTAAATATTAGATGAATATGGATATAGGCATTCGATATGGATATAGAAATCAGTTGAGATTGAGATTGAGATTGAGGTTGAAAATAATGATTTCTTGAATAGGGAGAGAAAAGTATAGTTAATATGTTATGAAAGTATGAGGCTATGAGTATGAGGGTACTATTATAGTAGTATAATGATTGATTGAGGGAGTACTCGAGTATAGGTAGAGAGAAGAGAAGAGTGATAAAGTGATGAGAAGAGAAGAGAAGAGAAGAGTGATGGGAGTGAAGTTTGAGGTGAAGTTGATGAATTCCTATCTTAATAAAGAGAGAAGAAAACATTTCAGTTTCTATTCTTCTTATACTATTCTAAAATATCGATTCTCGAAATTGAAATTATAATATAAAGTTTTTCATTTTGGTATAAGAGGTATATAGATAATATCTCAAGATATATAAACTGTAGATATGCAACAAAACTTTTGGAGTTCTTATAGAGGCAATGTAATTGGAGGAAAGCAATGTGAAGTGTTGTTGAAGTGAAGTGTATTGAGTGAATGAGGAAATGAATAATTTGATACTTTTGAAATTATATCAATAAAGTAGCAACTTGATAAAGAGAAAAGGGATTTGAATATTGATCTCCTTATCTTGGATTTGCTTTGAGGAAAAATGAAGCTTTTGAATTTAGTATAAATAGCTATTGTAGATAGGCTGCGCAGAAATACTCCGCTACCCGTGGGGACCCGTTGATGATATTTTAGACCCGCGGGGGACCCGTTGAGCTTTCAAAATTATCCGCCCCGCAAATACTCTGCAAATTTATTAATTTTTATAATATTAATGTAATTAATATAAAGATTAATATAAAAACTTGTGACGGAACAGACGGCTCTCTTCCGCCC